AAGACAAGATCGGTAGAGAGACTGGACTCGGCCTGTCGAGGTAAGGTACACCACAGTGTGCAGGCAGGCAGGTGGTGTAAGTGAACACATTGACAAAAGAGCTGTCCAGAAGCGGACTAGCGCCCCTCTGGCCAGGGGTCGTAGGTCCACGCCAAAATGCGGCAGAAAACCAGCCTACTGGAGGGGCAGCAGCTGGGACGCTGCCTTACATAAGCCGCGTTGATGCTTGACAGGGGGAAGCCACAGTGTCCAGTCTGGGCGGTGAGCTCTTGCGGAAGACGGCGGAACTCTGATGCGGCAGCACAGCTCACTGACAGGCGCGCCATTGGGACCCACTCCAAGCCCACACTTTACAGATGGCCACGAAGCGGAATTGTTAGTTACTAGGGGCTCCGAGACGAGGAAGTGGCCTTTACGTATCTTGCCTACATCCTCCCAGTGCGTATCCAACCACTTCTCACCGCGCCTCAACTCTCCGTGACCCGTGAATGTCACTGTCACTCTCCTCTCCATCTCCAGCTTGTACCTGATTTCTGGTCGCTAAGCTGGCCTGCACCTGTTCCTTTCTTCCTTGAGGTGCCGCTTGTTTGCTTCTTTTTGCTTGCTAGAAGCTCCGGCTTCACCTCCCCGCCAAAATGCAGGCCTCCTCGGGCATGTTGACCAAGGTATGTCTGCCCATGGCGCATTGGCATCCAGTCGAGATCCCTTGAGGATATACTCGATGGCTCACAATCAATTCAGTTCGAGTCCAAGTCTTCGCGCGCCAAGGGCATTGCCTTCCACCCGAAAAGGTGAGCCTTGCATCTCCCAGCTGCCTAACCCAGCCCGCGAGACGCCGCCCCCTTGCTGACGTGTAGCTTCCAGACCATGGATCCTCGTCGCCCTTCACTCCTCCACAATCCAGCTTTGGGACTACCGCATGGGAACATTGATCGATCGATTCGAAGAACACGATGGCCCGGTTCGAGGAATTGACTTCCACAAGACGCAGCCCCTCTTCGTCTCCGGAGGCGACGACTACAAGATCAAGGTGTGGTCATACCAGACTCGTCGCTGCCTGTTTACCCTGAACGGCCATCTCGACTACGTCCGAACTGTCTTCTTCCATCACGAGCTGCCATGGATTCTGTCGGCTTCAGACGATCAGACGATTAGGATATGGAACTGGCAAAATCGCTCTCTGAGTGCGCAAAACCCTTGGGATCCCTTGGTTGCTAGAAGAAGCATTGGCTGACCATGACTTGCAGTCTGCACAATGACAGGACACAACCACTACGCCATGTGCGCCCAGTTCCATCCGAAGGAAGACCTCGTCGTTTCCGCCTCCCTCGACCAGTCTGTCCGTGTCTGGGATATCTCCGGCCTGCGCAAGAAGCACTCCGCCCCGACATCCATGACCTTCGAAGACCAGGTCGCGCGGGCGAACCAGAACCAGACCGATATGTTTGGCAACACCGATGCCGTTGTCAAGTTTGTTCTGGAGGGTCACGATCGCGGTGTTAACTGGGTTGCTTTCCACCCCACCATGCCTCTCATCGTCTCTGCTGGCGACGACCGCCTCGTCAAGCTGTGGCGCATGAGCGAGACCAAGGCCTGGGAGGTCGACACTTGCCGAGGCCACTTCCAGAACGCCTCCGGTTGTCTGTTTCATCCCCACCAAGACCTAATCTTGTCCGTCGGCGAAGACAAGACGATCCGTGTGTGGGACCTCAACAAGCGAACCGCCGTACAGTCTTTCAAGCGCGAGAACGACCGATTCTGGGTCATCGCTGCCCACCCCGAGATCAACCTGTTCGCTGCCGGACATGACAACGGTGTCATGGTCTTCAAGCTCGAGAGAGAAAGGCCCGCGTCGGCGGTTTACCAGAACAATCTCTTCTACATCACCAAGGAGAAGCACGTCAGGTCATACGACTTTCAGAAGACTATCGAGAGCCCGACTCTGTTGTCGCTCAAGAAGCTTGGCAGCCCCTGGACTCCTCCTCGCACACTTTCCTACAACCCTGCCGAGCGCTCCGTTCTGGTTACCTCTCCCTCCGACAGCGGATCATACGAGCTGATCAACCTGCCCCGTGATGGATCTGGCGCTATCGAGCCTACCGAATCGAAGCGCGGCCAGGGCAACTCTGCCATCTTCGTTGCGCGCAACCGCTTCGCCGTTCTGAACACCGCCAGCCAGACGATCGATATCAAGGACCTGTCCAACAACACCACCCGATCCTTCAAGCCCCCGGTTGGAACCAGCGACATCTACTTCGGTGGCACCGGAAACCTTCTCATCATTACGCCGACCGCTGTTCACCTGTATGATATCCAGCAGAAGAAGAGCGTTGCCGAGCTGGCTGTGAATGGTGTCAAATATGTTGTTTGGTCCAACGATGGTCTCTATGCTGCTCTCCTGAGCAAGCATAACGTCACCATTGTTACCAAGACTCTTGAACAGGTCAGCACCCTGCACGAGACCATCCGTATCAAGAGCGCAACCTGGGATGACGCCGGTGTCCTTCTGTACTCGACTTTGAACCACATCAAGTACACTCTCTTGAACGGCGACAACGGCATCGTCCGCACGCTTGATCAGACTGTTTACTTGGTCCGGGTGAAGGGTCGCAATGTGTACTGCCTCGACAGAGCCGCGAAGCCCAAGGTTCTGCACGTTGACCCCACCGAGTATCGCTTCAAGCTTGCTCTTGTCAAGAGGAACTACGAGGAGATGCTTCACATCATCCAGACTTCCAGCTTGGTTGGCCAGTCCATCATCTCCTACCTCCAGAAGAAGGGTTACCCCGAGATTGCTTTGCAGTTTGTTCAAGACCCTACTACTCGATTCGAGCTTGCCATTGAATGCGGTAATCTTGAAGTTGCTGTTGAGATGGCTAAAGAGCTTGACCGCCCCAAGCTCTGGCAGCGACTGGGCTCCGAGGCCCTGTCCCACGGCAACCACCAGATCGTCGAGATGGCTTATCAGAAGCTGAAGCAGTTCGACAAGCTGTCGTTCCTGTACCTGTCTACTGGTGACCACTCCAAGCTTGCCAGGATGGCCAAGATTGCAGAGCATCGCGGCGACTTCACTGCTCGCTTCCAGAATGCTCTCTATCTCGGCGAGGTTGAGGACAGAATCCAAATGTTCAAGGAGATCGATCTTTGTAAGTTACCTTCAACGCATTGGACTTCTAAAGCTAACCACATCAGACCCCCTGGCGTACATGACTGCAAAGTCGCATGGCTTAGATGAGGAATGTCAAGCTATTCTCGAGGCTACGGGTCTCACCGAGGACCAGCTGGAGACTCCAACCATTGGAGAGGCCCTGACTCCACCAAAGCCTGTTGTCCCAACTTTCAAGGCCAACTGGCCTACAAAGGCGACATCAGTATCTGTTTTCGAGAAGGCACTACTCGGCCAGGTCGAGGGTCTCTCGCTTGAAGATGAGCCCGCTGCTGCCAACGGCTTTGATGACGCAATTGATGATGATGCCGCCAAGAAGAACGGCAACCTGATTGACGCCGACGATGACGAGGATGCCGCTGGCTGGGACATGGGCGATGACATAGTACCCGAAGTTGAAAGCGACTTCGTTAACGTTGACAGTGCAGAGGCCGGTGGCGCTGGAAGCAGCGAAGCCGATCTCTGGGCTCGCAACTCACCCTTGGCTGTGGACCATGTTGCCGGTGGCTCTTTCGAGTCAGCCATGCAGCTCCTCAACAGACAAGTGGGTGCTGTCAACTTCGCGCCTTTGAAGCCACGGTTCCTCGAAGTCTACCAGGCATCAAGAACATATCTGCCGGCCTCTGCGGGTCTCCCTCCGTTGGTCAATTACGTTCGCCGCACGATTGAGGAAACGGATCCTAGGAAGGTCTTGCCCATTGTGCCTCGCGATCTCGAATTCCTGGCCACCAACGATCTCCAGCAGGGTTACAACTCCATGAAGACAAACAAGCTTGAGGATGGTTTGCTCCTTTTCAAGGGCATCCTCCACGCCATCCTCATTAACGCCGTATCCAGCGAGAGCGAAGTTGCGGAGGCGAAGAAGCTCATCACGTCGGCTAGCGAGTATGCTGTGGCCATGGAGATCGAGCTTAGCCGTCGTCAACTCGGCACCAGCCCCGACCAGCTCAAGCGCAGCCTGGAGCTGTCTGCTTACTTCACCATCCCCAAGATTGAGGTTCCTCACCGTCAACTCGCTCTGCACAACGCCATGCAGCTGGCGATTAGGAACAAGAACTACAACTCGGCTTTGAGCTTCGCTAACCGTATCATTGCCAACGGTGGCTCGAGCAAGCTGACCGAAAACGTAAGTCTTCCTCTGCTTCAACCAAAGCTTACTCAACTAACAATCATACAGGCCAAGAAGGCAAAGGCCCAGTGCGAGCGTAACCCGTCGGATGCGATCGAGATTGAGTTTGATCAGTTTGCCGAGTTCGAGGTTTGCGCAGCCAGTCACACGCCTATTTACAGTGGTACGTCTTACGAGGAGTGTGCCTTTGACGGCTCCAAGTACCACACGAAGTACAAGGGAACCGTCTGCAAGGTGTGCGAGGTATGCGAAGTTGGTAAGCATGGCAGTGGCCTGAAGCTCTTCGCATAAGGGGTTAGATAGTATAATGGGGTTCCACCAGCAGTGAAAAGCTGCCGGAGACGCAGTGTTCTCGGCCTTAAGGGGGTGGTCTTGGGAAAAGTTACTGTAGACAGGGCCGAAGGTCTGAATGAAGTCCCAGACTTTTGATTGTTAGCAATAGTTTGCGGGAGACGAATATATGTCATCACTTGTTCATCTTGCTTGTCTTTGTTTGTTTCATCATGCTGCCGTATGAATGGCCACGAGAAACGCAATTAGAGATGTTTCTCTGTGGACCGACACAGGGGTTCACCACTTTTGTTTGAGCATGCAATTGTCATAACGCCAGAGCTTGGATCCCAGTGTCCATGCCCCTATCTCATGGTCTATCGCGTGATATTAGTGGTACAGTAAAAGCAATCGCCCCTCTTCTCTACCGCCCGTCTACACAATGGTCTCGAGTTCCCTGGCGTAACCCAACGTGTTCTCTATCACCATCTGGCTCATCTCCTTCTCGTGGGTGCCGTCCTCAGCGGCGGTGGCCTCAGCCGTGTCGGGGAACCGGATCTGGCCGTCCTTGAGGATCCAGCCGCGCTGCTGGGCGAAGGAGATGACGTCGCCCTCGGAGTCGAGGAAGAGGAGGGACTTTGCGGAGCTGATGGGCAGGCTGGGGTAGGCGCGCTCGCTGCTTGAGGCGATTTCGGAGCGGATTTGGAAGGTGAGAATCTGGATGAACTGTTAGCTATCGGGGGGGGGGGGGGGGNGGGGGGGGGGGGGGGGGGGGGGGGGGGTCATTAGGGAATGGGACGCTAGTCAAGGCATACCTCTGAGAAGACGGCGTACTCCTCGCTTGGCACGTCGCGGCTCTTGAGGGCGTTCCAGACACGGTCGTAGCTTCCCTCCATCAACCATCTCTCGAGACGGATGGGGTATCCAAGGTACCTGTCACCCTCGACGGCGCTGCTATCGCCGCCGCCCTCGCGGTTGGCCAGGCTCTCGAGCTCTGAGTGGAACTCGGCGTAGCGGCCCTGGGTGAGGAGAAGGAGGAGATAGAGGCCGGTGACCTTGTTCTGCTCGGGGGGGTTGGGCTGGAGGAGGTTTGACGGCAGCTCGTAGAAGGGCTGGAGCTGCTGGACGTAGCGGGTGAAGGCGTCGGGGTTCTTTGCGCGGATGGAGGCGAGGGCGCCGAGTTCGTACGTCTCGCGGGCCAGGGCGAGGAGGTCGGGGGAGGATTTGGCGGAGGGAGTCAGGGCGTTAAGTTGGAGGAGGTGAAGCTTTGCCTTTGATAGGAGAGCGGAGGATTCGGCGAAGGGGAGGGAGGAGCCCTTTTGGCGGAGGGTGGTGATGATCTGTTGGAGGTTGCGGTCGGCCATTTTGGCGGGGTGTTCTTGGGGGGCGAGGGCTGCTTGCTCTGTTCCGGAGAGGCTTGTGTCCCCGGTTGGCTGGGGGTTTCGATTGGGATGAAGAGATGTCGTCAGGAGTTGGAAACTGGCTGACAATTGTGCGTGGAGGTTGTGGAAGATGCGGTTGTTGTGGTGGTGATGATGTGTGTTCAGATGCACTCGGATTGGATTGCTGGGGTGTCAGGCTCAGCAGGCTGAGAGAGGCTGACGAAAGGTGCCGTCAAGCTGGAAGGTGCCGTGCTGGGGTCTGGCCAGAATGCACTAGCCCATTTGGGAGTAGACTGAGGGAAGCTTGCCTGCTGAGGCCGGGACCTGAAGGGGCACGTGCCGCGGAACTTCAAGGCTCCGATATCCGTCATAGTGGGGTCGGGTCTGGCAGTGTACCTACCTTAGCTGTGCCCGTGTGTAAGGTGCCTAAGGTAGCTGGAGGTCCCGTCGGGTCCAGGCCGTCGCTCGGCGCCCAGGCAGGTAGAGCTCGGGAGCTTCCACAGGCTTACAATGAGCTCTTGCGAAGAAACACTGAGCTCACTTCCTGGGTCATTGAAGATTCCTGTTGCGATTCGCAGCTGAATCCGGCCATCCTTCTATTGTGATGCCCTACTGGTGCTTGACTTGGCTTTGCGCCACTCTCCTCCGTTTCTAATCCAGCCAACGCATGGAAACCAATGCAATCTACCCGAGCTATGTCGGCCGGTTCACTGTCATTGCCCCGTGACCAGCTTCAAGCGCAGTCCTTTGCTGTAGTCTTACGGGTTCAACAACACCGGCAGGCGATCGCTGTGGGAGCTACTCTGGCTTACGATTTGAGTTCCCCACCACATACTGTCCGCATGCCTTATGAGAGGGTTTGTGGATGCACGCGGGAGAGAACCCAGGATATTTCGCAGCAAGACACGACAACGGCCGGCGCGGAGGTCTCAGCTTCCGGCTGTCAACCTTTGGGTGCTGACTGTGGAATGTCGGGCAGCATTTGCTTGCGGTTGTGGCCACTGACGAACCAGCGACAGGGCACTGCTCAGCAGAGGGAGGACCCGGGCTGGAAAGATGGGATGGGCTGGATTGGATGATGGCTGTGACGTCGTGACGTGGGGTTCAGGAGGACTAGGATGTTTGACGGAATGTTGTGGAAGAATTGCTTGCATGTTCATGCGGCTGATTGGATTGCTACGTAGATAAACCCACGCATGAGATGGATTATATCAAGCATAACATGAGAGCTCAACCGTTCGGAAAGGCCCCAAATAATGCAGGTACTGGGCAATTGTGGTAGGCTCCCGCATTTGGGACCCCCCTGATTGTGATCCGTAGTCTCCCTGCGCGGATGGAATTGGGATCCTCTACAAAGTGCAGGGCCTGTTGAGGATTGGCAAAAGAAGAGATATTTACGAGGCAGGCGCGATTCCGATGGCGATCATTCGGCCCCCAAGGGCAGGGTGGTCGGCCTGCGGGATTGAATGTCACCTCGAGCAGAAAAAGATTCTTGATGTTTCTAAGTTTGGAAACAAGGGCTCTCGACCGTTGTGGCTGAGCAGAGGGCGACGACGTCTGAAAGGACGAGAGGCCAGGATCGGGGGGCTTTGCTTGCCAAGTACCTGGCTTGTACCTTTGCAGGACTGCATGCTGCAGCTGAGTCGTTGTATCCATCTTTGAAAGTGATGAAGAATGAGGAAACATGCGACCATGGCGCCGAGCTACGTCTCGTAGCAGTGATCCGTACCAGGTAAGATATGAAGGGATAGAAATTGGATGGAATGAGACGATGAGCGTTGAATCGAGGGGGTCTTCCTTTCCTCCCGCTCCTTAGACTGAACACCTAAGCACCTCAGGTCTACCTAAGGTAGGTTAGGTAGGTAGGCAACGTGAGCCTCGGGCTACAAGCTGTATTGCCTTTCGGGTAAGGAGAGGCCTTCAACCAAGGTACGTAGGTAGCGTCTGAGGTGTCGCGTGGCAATGCTGTGGAATCCAAGAAACTACGGTTGGCATTGCACAAACAACCGGGATCGCATGACCTGCGCCAGCATCGCTAGGTAGGGTACTGTGGACAGCTTTTTGCACCCGCGTGGCTGGTTCGGTCGGCTGCCCGCAGTGCTGGTGCTGTTGTTGGCATCGCGGTGCACCTCGCGCCTGCCTGTGCTCACCAAAGGACAGGAAGGTACGACTGACCATGCTTCTTGCCTGCGCACCTTGCAAGCTGGCGCCGTTGCGCAAAAGAGTGCAAAACCATACCTACCTCTCTTCTCATACCTCAACTAAGGAGGGCTTCCGCTTTCCGTCGCTCTCGTTTTCGCATCGACCTCATCATCTTCTGCCATCTCTCAAACTTCTCCCCAAGCCACAGTCAACCAACCATCCGCCGGCGGATCTGCCAATTACCACGCCGAGTTCCTCCCATCTCTTCAACGATACTTCGATACCTACCTTATTTCAGCTGCCGGCAGCCCCTGTCCTCGCATTCAAAAAAGCCAAATAATAAGAGATGAAAAGGCTGTTCAAATCCAAAATACCATACGCGCGGCATGGCAAGGGAAATGCGCCGGCTTCCGGTCGAGATCCACAGAACAACGGCACCAAAAACACCTCGAGCGGTGGAACTCCCGCTGCACCTGGTCCGCATTCCATCTCCGGCCCGCGAATTGAAGTCTACCCACCTGCACCTGCACTCCTGCCTACACCTGGTAAGTGAAGAACGGAACTTGCCCTCTGCTTCAGCTGGTCTGGCCCTCGCTTTGGAGGCCTTGGGCCATCTAATTTCATCTCGGCCGAGGGTCCCCCCTTTAGGATGCTTTGCTGTTTGCTGCTCTCCTCTCTGATCTTCTCCCTCGGGTCCCTGGACACCTCCCGCCGACCATCATCAACCGCCCCGGAGGTATCGCTCACGGCCTGTGGCAAGCGAAATACGCACAGCCAAGCAGTCTGCCTGCACCGTCTTATGCACAGGGGGCCGTTTAACTGGACATGCTGGGCGCTGTGTGCACATGCCAAATCCCCCAAAAGGTTCATGGGTGCTGAGGTCTGCAATGGCACGCTATCACTGGCACTGTCTGACCTGGGTGCTGATTGAAAACCTCGGACGAGTCACCCTGGCTGAAGACGGGATGGACGGCTGTCGAATTGTTTGCGAGGGACTTTCAGCGCTTACTGCCTGCTGCTTGTACATGCCTCATCCTAGCGTACTCTCGATTGCCTGTCGGTACCTGATCACCACAGCCGGCTACTCCCTGCTGCGCCCACCGTAAAGTACAGACGAGGTACACTTGGGACTTTCGGCCTGCGTGCAGCAAATGGAAGCGCATCCCCAAAGCCAATGGACTCAGTACGCAAACCACAGCAAGCTGCGGCGTGCTAGCGCGCCTCTGACACAGCGCCAGCTGCGTGCTGCTAAATGTTCTGCTGCTGCTGCGGCTTGCATGGTGGAGCAGCATCTCATAGCGAACCCCTCCTTCTCTATAACTGCCCCGGTCAGTCCCGCTCCTGGAACAATGATGGGGGGCCCAGAGGCGATTCCCCCTCCTCCTCCTCCTCCTGACCCTGACCGAAAAGAAGAGAAATGCGACACTGGCACCTGGCACATTCATCCGGACGAGCTCCAATGTTTCACTAGCCAGACTGGGCACAAAAAAGGGGACGCGGACAACAACTCTGCACGCTAAAAAGAAAGGGCCCGCCGTCGCGATTTCCAATGCTTTGAGCTTCGTAACTCTCCACCCCGCTTCCGGACGCCCTCAGTTCAGTGTCATTCCTTCGAGACCAAGGACTGAGAGAAAGCAGCCCAAGAGAAAGACTGTCGCAGACACAGCAAGCAGGAAGCCCCTGGTAGCCAAGAGAACCACAGAGAACCAGAAACACAGGGTGCCAAAGTACAGAGACCGGACTGCACGTTCCCGATTCTCTTTTTTCGCCGTCAACATATTGCAGACAGCCACCACCACACCTACACCTACACCTGGCTTCTCAGTCAACCCGAGCCTCTTATTCCTTTTTCGCCTATTTCCCCATCCAATTATCGCCCCTACCGGACCCTGGCCAGGGAGTTTGGCTTAGAGGAGAGAGACGGTCAGACGATAACCCAGCAGCACCCAGCACAAAAGTAAATAAAAATACAGCACTTTTGGGGGCTCCAGCAAGCGGCCGGCCACAGCAGAGTCAGCACAGCAAAGCAGCCCAACCTTACAGGCGCGGGAGGGAAAAAAAAAAGCTGGCGGTGGCTCCAACCTAAACGTCATTCGACCCCCGCTGACTGATTACCTCCTATTTATGCAGCTGCACCTCAGCCCAAAGGCACAACTGACGAGATGTCAAACTTCGGCGCAACTTTCGTTCCTGGAGGGTTCGACGACTATTACATGCCCGAGGTCGTTGCACCTTCGCCTCAGCGGTACGCGTATTCCCTCATTTTAATCTCAGGCGGATCTATCATGGGTCCCTCCTGACTGCCCGCTGGATCTGGCGATGGGCCCCCCTCCCTAACCCGCGCCGCCTTGTCTTTGTCCCTTTTTCCTCAGCCTGGTTGCTGACACAAGTCGTCTCTACAGTGTAACGCCCCAGGTCCCTCAGAACATGCAAAACGACCTCCAGCGCATGGAACTTGAAGCCCGCGAAGTCGACCCGAACCGCCGAGACCCCAACATCCAGAACCGCCACGGCCGCGAGCCGTCCTTGTCCTCCTACTCCAAGCCCACCGACCCTGGTGCGCCTGCCCTACCTCCCAAGGGCTACACCAACCCGTCCGCTGCCGCTGCCGCGCCCTCGTCCGACGACTTCAAGCCGTTCCACGAGAATAGCGCAAGCGGCAATCATCATACCATGCGGCCCAGCGCGGCCCCTTCCTTCTCCCCTTTCCCCAAGGTGAAGGGCGACAACATACCCCCCACAGACGAGGAGAAGGAGGAGATCCTGTGGAACGCCCGCGAGCATGTCCTGCACTCCAACAATGTCTCGATGCAGCTTTCCTGGGCTCGTGACACCTTGGCCTGGGCCGAGATTGTTGCTGAGGCCAGGTCCAAGGACCCGGAGAGCGGTCGTCAAACACCAAAGGTTGAGCACGAACTGCGCACCGATGCACTCAACATTGTCGAATACCTGGTTGGCCAAGAGCATCCCGAGGCGCTCTTTATGAAGGCAAAGTGGCTCGAGTTTGGCAAGTTTGGCTGCCGTCCCGACAAGAGGGATGCCTACTCAAAGTACACGCGCGCTGCAGAGCTTGGCTACGCGCGTGCCGAGTACCGGCTGGGCATGTTGTTCGAGAACTCAAACGACTATAGCAAGGCCGTTGAGCACTACTACCTAGGTCTGAGGCTCAAGGACTCGGCGGCGATGTACCGCTTGGGTATGATGAGCCTGTTGGGTCAGCACAATCACCCGAAGGACTACCAGCGCGGCTTGGACCTTATTAGGGAAGCTGCAGACCTCTCTGACGAGGATGCGCCTCAGGGATCATACGTCTACGGCATGCTCCTTGCAAAGGACTTGCCCGACATTGAGGTTCCCGACGCGTTGCTTCCCGTTGACCTGCCGCTAGCCAAGATGTACGTCGAGAAGGCGGCCTACCTCGGATTTGCCAAGGCGCAGCTCAAGATGGGCCAGGCTTACGAGCTTTGCCAACTGAGCTGTGATTTCAACCCTGCCTATTCGATTCATTACTACGGTTTGGCAGCCCAACAGGGTCAACCTGAGGCTGCGCTTGGCGTCAGTCGTTGGTTCCTGTTTGGATACGAGGGCATCTTCAGTAAGAATGAGCAGCTCGCCTTCAAGTATGCTCAGGATGCGGCTACCGCGAAGCTTCCCACGGGCGAGTTCGCCATGGGCTACTACTACGAAATTGGTGTCTACGTTCCCAAGGACCTGCGTCAAGCTAGGTTCTGGTACGAGGCCGCTGCAGACCACGGCAATAAGGATGCCGTCGGAAGACTCGACGCCTTGGATCACTCTAAGAGCTTGACCAAAGCCGACCACGAGACGACCACTCTTACGAGAATCAAGTCGCAACACGGATCTCAGCGCGGCAAGCGACCGGACCGTTTCAAGCAGCCCCAACAACAGATGCCTACCGTCTCGGAGAGCGCACCGGTCACACCGACTGACCCCGGATATCCGACGAGCACCTCTGCAAAGACGTCACCTCATCCCTCCCCGAGAGCCCACCCAGCTCAAGACACCGTCGATTACCCCGATCCCTCGCGGCCTAACAGCTTGGGTAATAGACCCAACGCATTTACCGTCAACCTAGATGCCAACCTGGCAATTAGACCCAAGTCTGCCGCACCATACCCTGAAGATGATAGGCCGGCACCACTCAACCTCAACAGACCCAAGTCAACGGCTCCGTACCCTGAAGACGATCGGCCAGGCCCGCGACCTGGAGCTGGCCCGCAGCTTTCCCCTCACTACAACACGGGAGGTCGCCCACCAGCCGCTCCCCACTCTGATCGCCCTGGCAGTGCTTTTGGAATTCGCACTGGTCCAGGCGGCCCTCAAGGCATGGCCGGCAATGTCCGCCCATCTCAGTCAATGAACAACATGATTCCTCCGGCTGGTGCGGATCCCAGGGGCCGCCCTATGACGGGAGGATGGGATCAGTCCGGTTACCGCCAACCGAGCCCTGGCCCGGGCCCTGGGTCTCGACCCGCTACAACACAGCCCTACCCAGTGTCCCCTGGGCTTCCCTCGAATCCCGCCATGAACAAGCTCACCAAGCAGAACACTCAACAGTTCGCCAAGCCCCAACCTTCACCTCCTTTCCAGCAAGGAAGCTACGGACCGAGCGACTACGGTCAACCGGCGCAGGCGCAAGCGCAACCCGGCCGAGACTACGGACCTAGAATGTCGTCCATTCCCCCTGCAGAACAATATGGTTACGGCAGACCTCCCAGCGCCGCGCCGGGCGGCATGCCTCCGCGAACCGACTCGATGCCGCTCAGCCCATCTGGTCAACCCCGACCTCAGGGTGGTCCCGGCGGCGCCCCCCGACCTTACGCTAATCGGCCGGATCTTGTCGATCAAGGCCCTCCCGGCCGCGTCGGCAGTGCGCCGCCCTCTTCTCAGCCACGACCCCAGCAGAAGCCCAGCCCGGCTCCTAGTGCCCAAACGATGCCTCCCCCGAAGAAACAAGCGACAGGTCAAGGACCTGCGACTTTTGAGGAGATGGGCATCCCCAAGGGCAAGGATGATTCGGATTGCGTGAGTCTTGCCATGTTGCTCTTGTGTAAGAATATCCGACTGACCGTTACGCAGATCGTGATGTAAATTTATCAGATACCATAGCCCCTTGACGATGAGATGCTTTTCACTTTTATACCGGGGTAGCTGAAGCGTTTCATGCATGTAGATAGCATTCCAGTTGGGCCGCATAGATGGCCAGTGGGAGTACAACGGCACCGAGAGAATTGCAATAACCGAAGAATTATCAAATTTGTCTTTCGCTAGGTTGTGAAGTTTCATGTTCTCCATCAGTTGGCCTCAGAGGCAGCGTATTGCTCAGCAAGTGGCGCGATGCAGTCCTTGAGACTGGTCCAGCCCTCCCCTCCCCTCAGCTTCTTCACCAAATCCGTCGCTCTCTCGTTGGCGATCTTGCCTACGTCAACACCAAGATCCGGGAGGTCGGCGGGGAAGCTACGGCCAGCCTGCGTTTCGCGGAAGACGGCGAGGATGTCGTTGATGTTGAAGCGGCCGGCATATGCGATGAGGCGTTCGGACTGGACGTCTGGGAGGAGCAGGGCGGCGATGTGGATGCGCGCAATATCGACCACGTCGCAGAACCATTGGGCTGGGAACATGGCGACGAATTCAGGGGATACGTGGCCCTGCCAGAGAGACTTGAGGATTCCGACTGCGGTCGGGAAGCCCTGGTGCTCCGGAAGGAGGACTCTGCCCAGAGCGGCGTTGGGAACAACTTTCACACGCAGGCCATCAGTTCTATGTTGCCAACGTCTGGATGTCGAGATGTCACTTACTCGAGTTCAACGTGAACCCGGGCTTCTCCTCGGAATACCACTTCCACAACGCCTGCTCGGCCTTCGTCTTTGCGGCGGAGTAGGCGATATAACCCCCCGCAAGACCTCCGGGCCCCTTGCCGGAGTAGGCGATGGCAACGGCTTGCTCGTTGTACGTGTCGGCTTTCACTTCGTAGGGGACATTGGGGGTCGGCATGGCGGCGGCGCCGGAGGAGGAGGTGTAGACGAAGCGTTTGAGGGACGGGGTTGAGGCGGCGGAACGCGCGATGGAGAGGGTTGCGTCGACATTGGGGGGCACGACGGCGTTGGGGTCCGGGTTCATGTTCGTGATTGCGATTGTGTGGATTGCGCCGTCGGCACCTGTGTCTGGGTGTTAGTGCTCTTGGCTCATCGGCAGGCGAGAGGGCGAGGGCTACCCTTGAGGACTTCATCAAAGGCGCCGTTTTTGGTCACTTCGGGCACGGCGTGGAGGGTGAAGCGGCCTGGGCCGTAGGCCTTTTCGAAATAGGTTGAGAGCCAACTGTACTTTGCGGCGTCGCGGACCGTGCCGCGGACGCGGTAGCCAGCGGCGAGGAGCTGGTCGACGATGTGGGATGCTATGAAGCCGTTTGCGCCCGAGACCACGACCGTGCTGTCCTTGGGCAGGACGGGGTCTGAGATTGTTAGAGAGGACATGTTGAGCGAGGGTGATGATGATGATGATGGGTGTGATGGCTGAGAGGCATGATGAGCTGAGATTCCGGGGGATCTTGAGCGAGGACGGCTTTATAGGTTGAGGCTTCGGACATTGGAGGGGGTTTGAAAGTCCGTCGATGCTGGGCCAAGACGTCGTGGTTATGGTTATTGGTGTTGTCGTCGTCATTGACGATGTTGGAGAAGCGGGAAGAAGGGGTGGGCATCCCACCGAGGCCGGAGGGGATTATGTGAGCAGGGGACGGGGCGGGGCCGGTGGGATCCGGGGTGTGGGATGGCAAGGTATGCTTAGAATTCTTGGCTTTTGAGCATTGAGTGGGTGCTGAGGGGTAATTTGACAAAATTCCGGGAGTTACGGACGTCGTTGGGCGCTTTCGTAAGTGTGGACGTCGGCGTGCTGTTGGGTTCATGCAACACCGGTCGGTGAGATGGGTCCATGCCTTACCTTACCCCGAGGCCGGGCGGACAGGCGATTGCGGGGGCCTGCTCCGGTCGGCGCTCCACACTGGGCCGAGGCAGGAGAACAAACATTCCGATGAATTGCATGGCTGTTTCTGAATTTCACCGGCTTACTACCGCAAAACTTTGGACAAGGGACCTCGAAGATGGTTTTGTGACCTGCCCGAGGCTTTTGGAGGCATTGCGCCATGGCAAAGGGCAGACGTGTTGGTCCAACTGCGCCGCTGCGGCTACCCGCATGCCCTGCAGCCGCAGTCACACCTTTACCGCCGACACCCACCTGTCAAGATCAACTGCTGCCCAGAGCCAGAGGAGAGGGGTGAATTTTCCCTGGCTGGTGAGACGCGTTCTCCTTGTAGGAGGAAAATCAAAAATCGCGATACCACGTGGTTTTCTTCATCGTAATATTCGGGTGCCGTAGGTCGGTGCCGAAGTAATGGGTTGATTGTAGGCGTCAATGTTAGGAAGGTGACAGCCGTTTTACTACTTTCTTTTCTTTTCTTTCTTTTGACGGACCCCTGTACTTATCAATATCTGTACCCGGTGGCCGCGATTGGTTGGTCCGAACCTGGAAGCAAACAGAGTCTGCAGGATTTCAAGCAGCGGTCTGAGAAAAGGGGGCAATGCTTCGTTCTCAATCTCATGTGTCTTGATGGACTCAATCTGCATCTATCCGTCTTGGCCGTCGAGTAAGGATCCTTCTGAATTTTGAGTGAATTTTCGCCATCTGACGAGTTGACCTATGGCAGAGTTGACCATCTCCCACTCTTGCTCCCCGTTTTGATCGCGCTTTTCTTCAGAAGGCCCCTGGGAGTTTGTTCTTTTGGAACTTGAAAGTGGTTTTTCTCTTACCCGTCCACCAGACTGCCTGTATGTCACAGCTGACATCTATCAATTTGATGTGACTGCATAGTTCTGGCAGGTCAGCCACCTTGTTCTTCACCTCCGCCCACCACCTCGCATCACATTTGGTTTGCACCCTCCTCACCTTCCGACCGCACCTTCCCCAGACGCACCTTCTGCTTGACTTCACCTTCAGCTCTGAAAAGTAAATAAACCCGCTGCCCCGTCGCGAGAGGCGGTCGACGCGTTGGCGTGTCTGCCTAGTGTTTATTTACTTCACCCTCTTCTGTCAACTCTAACCTCCCCACCCACCAGCCCGGCCAAGCTCCTCGTCCATCACCATCGCGACGACACAGCGCCGTGAACTTTTCGCTGTTTGCACCTGCGCCACCTTCACAACTGTACAGAACCATCACCAAATCAAGCATCGTGTGTAAGTTCTTTACTTTGGACCCTTGGTTTGCGTTTCACATGCTGTTACCCATGTATTTCTTTTTTCCTTGGACTATTTCCCGCTTGTTCTGTGCGACCCTTCGTCCCGCACTTGCTTCTCTGCGCCTCCCCTTACCCTTTGATTGACACCAAAACCAGACAGAACAACAAAGGCACCATGGCAAGCGGAACTCCTGGCCATATCCAGCCGGGAATGTTGCATGGTTCTCAGAAAAAGAGAGATCGCAACCTCTATGCCGACAGCGACGACGATGAGGAATTTATTAGCGCCAAGCGACAGCGAAGTCTGATTGTCTCTTCCGGCTCGAAGCATGTCAGAATTCGCTATGGCGTTGATGAAATCAAGGGTGCTCTTCGTGGAGAGCTATTGTCTACCCCGGCCATGCAGCCGCTTGTCCAGGAGCTCATTGGAGAGATGCTTGAGATCACCCAGACAGAGAGACGTGTCTTGTGCGAAAACACTTTCTATGCGCGTACCAAGGCTGCTATGAAGAACCAGCAGGCTGATGAGCTTATTGATCTCAAGCGCTATCTTCTCGCAGAGACCTTCATTCGCATCGACAGCTGGTCCTTTAGCGCCCTGCGTGAGTGGTTTGACTTGGTCCACAGACTTGGCCTTGAGAGAGAGTTTCGAGACATGTATTGGGAGGACAACCAGCGCGCCTACAGTGTTCAGATCGCCAAGCTTGCCAGCCATGTGAGCCCTCCCAAGATCCCTCGCACCAAGGACAACCACGTGCGCCTGTCTGCTGAATACGGAAGCAACGCCAAGGACATTGTCTCCCGCTCTGTCTTCGTCAAGGGCCGCGGCCATCCCATCATTCGGAGCGCTGTTGCCATCATGGTTTTGGCGGGACAAGAGAACCCCGAGAACAAGGATAATCGCCTGGAGAACATTGCCAGAATCTCTCAGATTTGGGCCGCATGGTGCATTGCGAAGCACGGCGAAGATGAGACCGAGCGGCAGTTCCTTGCCGCACTCATTCACGACCGTTACCGAGAGAACGACTTCATCAAGACTTGCTTTTATTATGTCCGAGAGGAACTGGAGAAGTTGGCAATCAAAGTCGACAAGGACGAGTTCAAGAAGTGGCAGAGAATGCACTGGAGATGCCATCTCATCTCCATGTCAGAGTACCGAAGCCGACCAGTGGCTCTCAGGATCAACGAGGTGCCCAGCAAGGATGCCCGCAAGGCGTCCGCCTCTCGTGACGATGAGAGCAGCCTCAATGCTGCCATTGGATCCATCAAGCTGAAGCCGACCACGAAGAAGTCTGCTACGGCCATCCCCGTCGACTCCAAGCAAGCCATCGCCAAGAACCTCCAAGCCCAGGAGTCGCCCGTCGAGACTGACAAGAAAACCGTCGTTCGGAAGAAGCTGAAGGTGGTTTCCAAGCTTCAACCTGAGGAGACCTCTCAGTCCAATTCCCAGGCCCCGGAAGCCTCGATGGCTCCGCAGGTTCAACTGCCGCCGCAGCTTCTCCGTCAGTCCTCATCTACGACCGCCTCCCCATCGCCGCTCCCCTCGCCAGGCCCTTTCTTGGGCCTTACCCACGCCCAAATTAACGGAATGCTTGGTTTCCTCATGAAGGTGTTCAATGCTTCCGAGAGCAATGAGGGGGTGAATGAGAAGCAGTACGCGGTGGACCACCAAGCCGTTTCGACGAAGCTAGACGAAGGCGTCCTTGAGAGAATCAGCGCCCTGGAGGATAGACTCAACGCTTTCTCAGAGTTCTCTGAGAACATTATCGATGCCGTCCAGACGCTTGGTGACCGCCATGCTTACTTGGACGAAACCCAGAAATCGTTGGACAAGAAACAGAATGATATGCAGGAGTCTACTAACAACGAGTTTCGCTCCCTTGCTGAGAAGCAGACGGCCCTGGCTCAGAGACAGTCGTCCATGGACGGTGAGGTTGGAGCCTTGAACCGCATGCAGAGTGGAACCCACGATGAACTTGGAATCGTCGCGGACAGACTAGCTTCCCTGGAGTCGATTACAAAGCAGAGACTCTCGGAGCAGGATAGAAGCCTGAAGCAGCGAATCTTTGAACAAGAACGAACCATCAACCAGCTTCAGCAAGATGTCGACCTCTTGATAGAAAAGCAGAACCCCAACCCCCGCAAGCGCCCTTTCGACTCTCCTCGCAACGAGTCTACTTACGCTCCCAAGGGTCCGTCAGCTATGATGAGACAGGGCCCGGGATACCACGAGAAGACTTCCAATAGATTCGACCGACGCTAAGCACATCGACGGGCGAAAGGTAACGGAACGAGCAGTTCTGGATGAAGATGGGCGGCGACGACGACGACAACAACGTCCCATGAATGACGATGAATGCCGATCGTGGATGCCAAAGATGATGATGACGGATGACAAGTGAAGGATGACACCGGGAATATCGACAGTACTCGGTTGGAAGTGGGCGATACGAGACGAATTGCTTTTTGATCATGATGGCATAGCAAAGGATCGTGATGGATATACCCGTGTAGGATTTCATTCTAAAAGAGGGCTGGCTGAAGGAGTTTGGCGGTTGGGCATGTGCATCGATGGATTTGCTCACTTGGTTCATGGAGAACCAAGTCTCTTTTTACTTTTTGGGATGGTCAAGGGATGATTGTATGAAGAAAGACTGGGGCGTAGGATCGTCGCGTTAGATAGCAAAAGTTTTGATAAAGCCATTCTCCTTCGATGACGCCAGTTTGAATTGTCATACGTCATATCACTTGGACAATGTTCGGATGGGATTGGCTGGTTTTCCTCTCCAGCCCAGAACCGACTTTGATGAATGTCTCCTCAGCTTGTTGGCCTCTCGGCGGTCTGACAACGACGACCTCGCCGAACCCCTTCAACTCCAGTTCTCCATCTCCAGACGGAACAACTAAAGTCTTTCCTTTGTTTACATCCAACTTCTTTTCCCCAGCAACCCACATTTCTAACGCTCCTTCGCAAACAACCAAAACAGCAAACCCACTTCTCAACACCTTCTTCCCACGAATCTCAAGCCTTTCCAAATCGAAATACTCCTTTGCAACATCCGGCAACGCAGACCCGATGCTCGCCTCTGATGTAACAAGACTATCGGCCTCCCCTCTCGTCAGCCCCCCCGTATTAACAGCCGTTAAAGCCTTCTCGAACCCCAACCCCAAGTGCCCATCCTTGAATCCATCAATATCAAACCCCTTCCAATCACAAAGAATGGAAAGATCCTGCGGCTCCCGCACCTCGATCAGAAACACGCCCTCTCCGATGGCATGCAACGTCCCCGGCGGCACGTAAACTGTCTGATGAGCCTCGACATCCAAGCGGTGCATCCGCCCGAGCATCCCCTGCACGTCCTGCCGTTCCACCAAGCCCAACAACTCCTCGTGGGTCACATCCTCTTTCAAACCCAGGTCCACCTCCCCCGGCGTGAGGAGATACCAGGCCTCGGCCTTGCCGTGCCTCGCGCCGACGTGCTCCCTCGCCCAGTCCCGGTGCGGGTGCGCATGCACCGGCAGCCTCTGCCCCGCGTCGAGCAGCTTGACGAGAAGTTTCGTGTCCGTCCCGAACGCGGCTACGTGCGCGGCCCCGAGCCAGTATTCGGGGTCCGCGGCGATGGCGTCGGCTAGCAGGCGGCCGTTGGGGAGGACCGTCATGCCCAGCTTCGAGCTCGCGCAGCCGAGGCAGCATGTCGTCGAGGCGACCCAGTCTTCGGGCTCGTTCGGGCCGGACGGCTTGTCCGAGCGGAAGGCTGATATTTGGGGACCTCCTAGGTAGAACCGGGCCGGCGGCTGGTTTGCGGGGAGGACGATGGGGGCCATGGGGACGGATGAATTGTTATAAGTATTTGACTTACACACGGATATGGCGGCTGCTGGGTGAGTTTTTTTTTATTTGAACATGCACGGTTTGCCGGAAGCTTGGCGAGGACTGTAAGACGAACAAGACGGGTGCGGCATACTTATAACCAGGCACTTCCATTAGCTTTATGGACGTTCAGAGGTGAAGTCGGGAAATGTGGATTGTGGTCCGACCAACGACGAACCCAACGGCGGGCCCAGCAGCGTCTTGACATCCAACCAGCATCGCTCATGGGCGGGCGACCCCTGCTAACGGGCACCAGACTGGCAATGGTCGTTCCCCCGCATGCTTCGGTATGCCCTGCGTGTGCTCTGCCCCTCACCACCAAGACTGTCTGTCGTGAGAAATCGAGCAACTTTTCCGAGAGTCCCCTCTCGGCTGGATTTCCCCTTTGCCGCCAGGGCTTACGTTAGATCACGTTTGACGATGAACGACGGAAGACAGCATCAAGGAAGATACAGACGAAAGAAGCAAAATACGCGAAGAGCAGGAAGAGGTTGTTCGTCACATTTTGTCCAGTCAAAACTCTGAATACTCTCTTATTCAAGTTGAGCCTCGAGTTTCAATGAAAAACTACAATGGCCGATCAAGCTGCTAGATTGGCTCAATCACCTGAACGAGAAGCTACCATGCGCGTTTAGGCTCTGGGCTTTCCCAAATAGCTTCAAACCGCCGTGATGATGCTAGTTTACTGTATGATGCTGTCGCTTAACATCGTCATATCCATCTTGAAGATTGTTGCAGGAATCATTGCGTTTCCGACGCGTTATTATATATCCTCGAGCATCAGCCGCAACGTGCAGCGGACGTGAGCCTGATTGGAAGATTGCAATACTGCAACATGTTAGTAATACCATAGCAACTGTAACTAGAGGGCGGAATGACGCAGGCCCGTATTAGGATATCAATTTGGCAAGAAGGGCCTGCAAAACACGAGGTATGTGACTTAAACCAATAGCGTACTTTTCATACATGCTTTTGACAACGTCCCCATTGCTGTCCGTAACTGAGCAACCTCCTGAGAAGCTCGTACACTGGATGTAGGAGACCAGGGCTAACAGTGAACCATTTCTCGAAGCCGCACTAAGAATGCGTAAGTAATTTGGGTTTTCCCGTTGTTGATAAGTTAAAGGACACAATAGACATTTTGGCCGTCATGATTATTTCTAGAACGGCGTTGTATGGTAGTCGATGGATTTGAACACTTACATTGCCGTAGCCGAGGCTTGAAACCTAGTTGGTAACATACTTGGAATGCGTATGATACCCGTTGACGGTTGATGCTGCAAAACTCTTGAAGAGTAGGTAAGAAATCATCATAATTTCGCGATTACTTTACCGGTGCTGGTTTAGGCTGGCTCTTTGCTTGTGAGGAGTAGCATAATACAAGTGTGTTGATGCATCAGGAGAGCGCAATGATGAAGGCATCTCGCTGGATTGCTCAAATGGTAATCCAAGTTCTCAGCATCTCGAAGGGGGTCCGCTATGATAGACTGGCTACGCCGTTCTGTCGCACAATTGGAGCTCAAAAGCAGGACGCGGTCGCTGGAGCCTCGCTCATTTCATACCGCTTCATTACGAACCCCCATGACGTTTTTAACCTGATGAATCTGTGTTCTATTGGTTATAACACTGTCCTAACATCGGCCATGATCGTGAACTCAGAGAATACAAATCAAGATGTTCTGTTGCATCTGCATACCTCTCGAGGCATCAATTCCAAGCCCAACAACGCAGCTGGTCACCAACAGCTTGCCCTTCAGCGTGATTCTTTGTCCGGCGACTACCTTCAGCACTTATAGCAAGCAGTCCCTGTCTGCAAACAACCCTACCCGTTGGCTAGGTAGCGTTTATTCTTCTGTGTACAGTGTTGATGAATTTGCTGAACTAGCCTGCTGCACTGGTCAAGATATGACAAATGAACTAACTATGCAAGGCAGTCACAAGGGCCACATCTTCAGATCTATCCTTCCCAGTCTCGGTGCACTTTTTCCATGTCCAGAAGATAACGAGATAGCTTCGTCATACACCACGGTCCCGGATACACTGCTTGAGCCGGTGACCGGCTCGGATTTTCATAGTTTCATAGTTGTGGACTGCCGAGGTGGACGGAGTGGAAACAGGGTATTGACAGTGCAAAGTATGCAAATCTTTTATCACGTGTTCAGGGAACGATGCTGCACGGGAATGCGACGGAGGAGTGTGCCAGGTCATACATAGCACGGTCCAGGGTTCCCGTTCCCATCACCTCAGAAGTCGCTGTGCGAAGTAAAGAAGCCCATTGCCTCGGGGACACAGGAACGGTTTTTTTTGGGCTTGTATCTGATTGATGAACGTGGCTCTGTCCGATGCAAGGTATGAGACGAACCAGCCTACTCACCGCGCCCAAATTGGATTTGCGACAATAAGCTTAGCGGTCGAAATTGACTCGCTCGTCTCGCTTGATGTAATTCGCTCATGTAGAGATAGTTGATGAGTTAAGCATTGGGACTACGATCCACAAAATAAGGCCGACATGAGGCCCAGTCTCAGAGCCAGGTAATCTTATAGACTCAACAACGGAGACCGGTCAATGGGGCTGGAAATTCAAAGATTTGCGGAGGGGCCCGATGAGCGGTCAGCTATCATGATCGGGATATCGTTACAAATTCCGAGCCCAAGTACGGTCAATAGACCTCTGTCTTCATTCTCACACATGCAAATTTAACTTATTCGACATCTTGCAACACACTCTCTCACATCACACCACCAGGAAGCTTTCACAGGGACTCATCGCTGCCTCTTTGGCCTTCGGTTTTATGGAAGGGTGCCGACGGGCACCTGAACTGTGCAAGTCAGACGTTGCGCCCATCTCACGAGGCCTGATAACCGGATGGGTTTGCAGTCTCTCAGAAGACATGCTCTACCAAACGACTAGTGAGATTACTGGCGAGAGGCAACGATCCGAACCTGGTGTCGTCGGATGGGAAACGATGAAGTGCTGCAAGCCGCAGACCATTGTAAGGCAGTCATACACCCAAAAAGATCAATAATCGGAATGCTGGGCCCTGGCAACATGCGCTCTGAAGGTTAAGCGGATTTCACGCTACTTAGCTGGGACACAAACTCCCATTGATGGGATCAACATCACCATCATTGAGGGCATTGGGGTTTGGAAAAGCCTTGCGGTCTGCAGGGCCGCACATCCACTGACGAAAGTAAGAGGCGTGCTCCGGGAGGGGACCAAACACTGCTTGCATGATATTGTTAAGCCATCTTGAAGCTCATAACTTTGTGAAAGACGACCCAAATAAAAACTTCTTTGAACTCTAAGTCAACCCCAAAGAAAGGGTCATGGTTTGAGTTCAGATATTTATGTTGTTGCACAGCTGTATGTATACAATAATGCATCTCTCTGCAACACGGTCATGGAACCTGATGCGAGATCTTGTGTTCAGGTGATTTTTAGAGTTTGCGAATATCCATAGTAGTGAAGGGACGCACTGCTAGCGTGGAGGGAGCGCGTGCGTGGTCCTTCCTCTTCAGTGGTTTTAGGGAAAGATACCGCGTTTTATCCACTATGCTGAGTTTGATGCTGCTAATTTCAGATTTGATGAAGTGATCTGTGCTCGTTTCGTAGGCCGTCGAAAGCCACCAACTCAGTCTCACTCTCGGAAAGGGCGAGTGTTGTGTTACTAATACGAGACAATTCGGTTCATGTGCTGCCCGATCTGGGAAAGTTTCCCCGAAGCCACGGAGTCCCGACAGGTGTGGATCCCCCGCATTCCGGGACCGGCGGTCACCTACCTAGGTAGTGTGGCAGCATTTTTAGATTTTAAGGTGTCCTCAGACCTCGACAAATGTCTGCGGGCGCAAATAAATCTCTCTCCTATGACTTAATACCTCGCATAAAGATACGCATACAAACCGGAAGGTCTGGGATCTGGAGGAGCTCGCCGCAAGGATAGCGAAAGAACCTGGATTGGCTGTGACGACCCTCCACGCAATAGGGAGAATCAAGCCTCCATAGTCATTTCAGACACCACCTCTCAGCACATACGACCACACCCATTGGAGAACTCGGGATCCCGTCCGCTCTCCCATAGATAAGCCAATGAGGGCTGGAGTAGTAGTCGGGTCGGTGACGACCGGCGAATGCCCGGTGTTGTATGTCTTTTGCCGATTCTTGCTCTTTTGGCTGATCTATGTGAGCTATGAATCTCTGAACTTTTGTCTAGAGAAGAGATTTTGACGACACGATGGCAAGTCTTCGGATGTGACTTGACAGTTCACAAAATGATTTGATGCTTTCTTAATGACTAATGACGCTGTTTTTTTCAAGAGACTGCTGGTGTCGCTAACCTGTGACCTGTCGCTTGAGGATCTGTTGAGTAGCCATGTCAGGGAACAAGATCTACTACACGATACGTTGAAGAAGTTCATTTCATTAAGCTACTATAGTGGATAGATTCACCATAGAATCTCTCAGGCGTCTGGCATGGAGCAGGACAAATCAAGTCTGACCCAGCTCATGCCTTGAATATCCCGTACTTGGCTCGGCATCGTGAATCACCCGTACCTCCCACAGACTGGCAAGATTCTCGAAACTTGCAGTTATCGAAAGCCGAGTACCCTGTGAACCAATCGCCACTGAAGTGCTTGCATTCGAGAAATGGCTGATCGTTGATGCGAGGGTAGCCAAAGTCGCACACCTTGCCGGTGATCTCATCGTTTGTGGTGCCATCTGCGTTCAAACAGGCGCAGTACTTGTAGTGGTCGCAGGCTCGAATAGTCAACGCGAAAGCGAGAACGGAAAGAAGAAATGATGCCTTCATGGTGCTGTAATAAGGCTGCGGTAGTGACGGGTAGCTGGATGTTCCCTGCGTGTGAAATGGACCGAGTGGTAGTACTGACTAAAGACTGTGTGACGAGCTTGGGCGGGTTGACTTCCGACTTGTAGATAGAAGTTGGACGGGCTTGCGATGTGTTAGCGCATTGCTGGTGGTTTTATAAAGTCGCCCTTTGGTCTCCATCGAGCAAGGATTTCAACTGCAATTGCATAGTTGACGGTATCGCCGACTTCAGCCGCCGCCCTTCATCGCGCCTTATGCCAGCTTGTGGGTATTGCGACTCTTGGCGTGGTGCAGATTCCCCTTTTGACTGACTCAACTCAGTATCAATCAGATCCATACAATACACCCCCTGAATGATTGTTAACCCCAATACCAGCCTAGCAGACTACATATGCTATTCGCCGTAAGGCCCCGGCCTAGCCTATGCAGTTAAAGTGTTAAGTACCACGCTTACAATCATTCAGGGGGTGCATTGTAGGTTGGCCTTCATTTCAGCAGCCGCAGGGATATTCACTGAGCGGTAAACTCGATCTAGTGCCTGATTTGGAACTATCCCTGCCAAGCGATTGACAAGTTGCGACATGCTTGTGTTCAGCTCCGTAGGGTAACTGCATACTAGGTAGGTAAAATCCATAAACTGCAGTTGCATCTTCTTCCAGCTACTATGTCCCACCACAGTACCAGCCAACCCGAGACAACCTGCCTCAGGCTCGGCATGATTAGTACAAGCAAGAGTGGTCGTCGAGTCGAAAACAAATCCGCGTTGCTCTCATTCCGTGCTCCAAGACTCTAGGCTTGAAAAATGCCCAACGCCAACAATTCCTTCAGTGAATCCGGCAAGTGAGATTGTGTCCGCGGCATTCTCGCAGGACGACAAGAAAAGACTATGTCTCTTCTTTCTGCCGGCCAGACCCAAAAGATACACAGAATTTGGTCTCACCAAACTACCTATTGCTGCCTAATTAGGTGATCAGCCACCTCGAATAGACATGATGTAGAAACAATCCGAAGGCGGGCTGCAATCTGAAACGCTTATGACTGAGTGAAAAGTAGTAATGACTTCAAGATACTTTACTTCTTATAGCGGTGCGCTGGTATCTACCTTCTGTCATCGAAGCTATCCCGAACAAGCACACGTAATTCACTGTTCATGAAACAAACGCGAAGGAGTCACGCTCTGTCAACCGAGCTTATCTCATTTGCCCGTCCACGGTGTGAGACAGGTCAAAGCTGCGCTTGAGATCAAACTCTACTTATCAAGACAAGTAATTCCGCAACGCATTTTCCGGAAGCTCCTTGCCAACGTAATCAGGTACACGCTCAAACATCTCCCAGGACGTGTGCTTGAGAAGATGAATCTGGTCCCTCACCCATGCCTCCACCTCCTCTTGGCTCGGCGTCTCCCCCTCGGCACCACGCTCATTGACTCGCTTGATAGCCAGGTCGCACCGCTCTCGAAGCCGCCAGAGCTTCTGCGTCATAATGGTATTCCTTCCCTTGACAAGGCTGTCGCAGCGCAGATTGAAGCTCCTCAGCGATGTGGCCGTGTCGTCCGCGTCAGGATCGAGGAAGTCATAAGAATTGACCAAACTCAGACGCTCACCGCAGTTGCGCACTCGTATGGCCGAGTGCTCGAGATATCCGCCCGTCATCATTACAGCGCCGCCGACGGAAGCTCCCTTGACCTTCTTCATTCGCCCGTCGCCCATCTTGATGACCGTCTCGCCGCCGAGCATAGTAGAGGTATCACTGAGCATGAGAACAATCACAACGGGGGCCATGTCCTTGTGCCACATATCGAGGACCTCGTCTTCATCCAGATCTTCTTCAGAGGCCAAGTTGGCCGTAGGAGGCTTAGGCTTCATCGGCTCCTCGGGAAGCTCGTAAGGGGTGCTGACTCCGCCGCCGCCGTCTCCTAGCTGCACGTTGATGTACCCTAAGGCGACCTCGCCGCTCTGAAGCCTCAAGGCATGCCCGTAGGCGCTGTTGACTGCGGCCTGGGTGACAGGATGGTTCCACGCTTGCTTCAAGAAGACACCATCCTGTTGTAAAAGTCAGAATGACGAGCTCCTTTCATATCTCACTCGGTAGGTAACCATGGAAAGTACTCACTCCCTTGGAGTCACCGTACCCGCGGATAATGCAATACTCTTTCTCTCCATACGTCTTCATATACTTATCCAGAAACTCGCGTCTGAAGGCCTCTCGACGAATCATCCGGATGCCCTCCTCCGAGAAGAGGTGGAAAGGCTCCGTGTAGCACATGTCAGGACATCCTTTCGGCACTGGGAGTCCGAGGTCTGTAAAAGTGTGGCGGCGGGTAGGAGGTTTGTAGTCAAGATGAATGGCGGGGTCAAACTGAGGGATGTAGAGCTCCGCTTCGATCTGCTCTTGTGTCATGGGCATCGCCTTGGCGAGCAGATCTGGGCAGCTGAGTGTCACGGTGGCCATTTTGACGATCCGAAGTACCGCTAGTTTGTGATGCAAGAGACTGCTGAAGAAACATTTGATGATTGTTCAAGTTGATGGGCTCGTACAAAGAAAAGATATGGTTCCGTCGTCAATTTAAAGTTTCGAACTCAGCTGATAATAGCTGACGATGAAGTATCACGGGCTTCTAGAGGACCCATGAGAGGACAGTCTTCTTTGAGCCAATTACAGGCCGAACGAATATTAATACCTATAAGGGGATTTAAACTAGGTGACCTAGTCGTGAAACGCATCCGAATTGAGCTTATCGTCACGAAGTGTTGTCGTGTGATTCAATCAGAGGGTCTATCATCTCGTCCTTCAAAGACGCAAAGATACATGTGGCACGGATCGATTGACCGCAGCAGGGAAAGCGTCCTGGTATAAACTCCGGCAAAAGCCAAATTTCACTGGTACAGCGTGCGCTTTGTGTACTACTGGCAACTCTATTCTTTTCCGGGATGATATGCCGGTGTACTGTCTCACCGCGAGACGATCTATCAGTTTGCTGGGCGAGTAGAAGGACTCCCCAACTCCCGAGCTTATCTTCTGCATGTGCACTAACGCATCTCACAGCAACCAACGTCACAACCCCAAGATACTATGGCAAGGTAGGCAACAGGCCTCGTGCCGTCGAACCGGCCATACTTCGAGAATCCTTCATCCCGAGTACGATTTGGTTGCGCGGATCGCGCATGATGTAGGACCATACGAAGGGGCCATTTGTTCGGTGACATTAACTAGCCCAAACAGATCTCCGATATTACTCCGCACGAAAAAGCATGCCCGGGGAAAGATACCTTTACCGGGGCTCCGAAAGCGGCCCCACAACAAGAGGGCCGATATCTATCTTGATAACAAAACCAATCACTTCTCCGCATCACTCGTTATCATCTCTGGGCATCTTCTCAGTATATGGCGAGAATCTATTTGAACAGTGAGTTACTCCGATTGCGGCTTGAATAATTTCAAAGAACCACCTCATAACCATTTGCCTTAGAAAATGAAGCATCACGTCGTCTGTCTGGACGCCGCAGAGGCTACCTTTCCGGACTTCGATTTCCCGCATACACGCAGCCTTTATGAACGCACACAGCCACACGAGGTCGCAGAGCGTATCAAAGATGCAACGATTGTCGTCACCAGCGTCGTTCCGATAACTCCGAATGACCTGGCCCATGCATGTCATCTGCAATGCGTTGCGATCGCCGCGACCGGTTTCGAGTGGCTTGACCGCGCTGCATTTGTCGAAAGACGCGTCACCGTCTTCAACTGCCCGCAAAGCAACGTTGAGGCCGTAGGGGAGCATTTCCTGACGCTATACTTCTCCGCCCGCCGAAAGGTTGTTGAGGTCCACGCTGCAATTACAAGTCCGGAAATGGACTGGATTCGAGAGGGGTCTTTGACGCCTCGGTGGACACAGGGGCCGCCTTTGAGTTGCGAACAAGAGGTCCTGGGGATCATCGGGTACGGAGCCCTCGGGAAGAGAATCGAAACTTTGGCAAGGGCCCTTGGCTTCGGCAAGGTCTTGATTGCGGATCGTAAGGGCGAAAGCAAGCCCCGCGAAGGAAGGGCATCTTTTGACGATCTCATCAAGAGAGCTACCACAATTGTGGTTTGCTGCCCTAAAAGCCCAGAAACTATGTCCTTGATCTCGGACTCGGAGTTTCATTCAATGAGAAATGAGGCGCTTCTTGTGAACTTAGCTAGAGGTGGCGTCGTTGACGAGCAGGCACTAGCAACTGCGTTGAAGGAGGAGAGAATTTTCGGAGCCGCTGTGGATGTTTTCGAGACGGAACCCGGTGGTGTGGGAACTACCCCTCTTATCCCAGATGTTTCAAACGGGGAGACAACTGTGCCGAACCTGACTTTGAGCAGTCATGTTGCGTGGTTCTCACGGAAAACCATCAAAAACTTGCAAGATATGCTTAAACTTGGTGTAGAGAGCTTCGTTGAGAAAAACAGCGACGAAGACCGCTGCAAGCGTCTACTGGTAATTCACAAGGGAGAGGTGCGGAAGTAAGACAGATTATCCGTAGACAAAAAAGGATCGATAGAGAAGTGTGGCCAAGACGACCGGCTAGGGAGTTCTGCCACTGCGCATTGATAAGACATTTGTTTCATCTTACATTGCGGCTGCATCTCACTCTTAGCTAGGTAACTCCAGCAGACTTGAAGTGACCTAGGTCAAAGAAGTATACACGATAAAAGCCGAGCTTTCCGTGGCCAAGAACGATAACATAGAGTGAAATAAACGCATGCTTTCTCCCCAGAATTCATCACACCATGTCTCCAATACGGGGCCTGTCTTGCAGACGTGCTGATTAAATGAAGTTGTTGATTGGAAGCTGGCAATCCTACGTTGTATCATATCCTAGCCTGCGCAAGGAAGTTATCTCGAGCGTCAAGGGTCAAGTCGCTAGAACTGAAAAGGCAATTTCATACTAAGCATACGACGTCAGCGGCCAAGCATATCAACCCTTTCGAAGAGAACCATAGTTACATATCTACGAGCAAACCCTCAAGAAATCTGCTCTCTTGTTTTGATGGCCAGAGACAGATCTTCTCGTATTTCTGTTTCTTCGTTGTGATATTTTGACGACATGATACCCAAGATGGAGAAGACGACCGAGAAATGGAGGCACAGAAAACGGAGTATCAGCCTGCCCAAGCGTCCGATGTTGCCACTGCCGAGACGTTTGTCACTGCCGATGAGCACGTTCTTAACTTACAAGACTTGGATCCGGCACTGAACCTCAAAATGCAGCTTATGAATAACGTGGGTCACGTCCCAAGGTTTCATCTCCGTCTTATTTTACCAATATGATCATTGGGAAAGCCATCAACGGAATCGGATGGATTGATACCATATCACACAAAATTGTTCTTTCTCAACGGCTTTGGGTGAGTAGGATGATAACTGCCAAGCTTCTGTTCCCGTATGACCTTGACTCTTAGAATACGATATGCCGTTGACTCAATGATATCCCTTTTCCAGTCTGTCATCGCGACTCAGGCGTTCCGCGAGTTTGGGGAGTGCAGATACGCCTATCGCCTGACAATCGCCAGCTACGTCGGAATGCTACTCGGCACGCTGTTCTGGGGCTTCGGTGCCGATATCATTGAGTGAAGACACGCTTTCAATGTCTCCCTCCTTGTATGTTCAGTCAAATGCATCATAACTGATGCCATGCCAAACTGGGAGTCTCTGGGCTTCTTCGTTGCGATGGTTGGCTTCGTCGCCGGTGGTAATCTCCTCATGGACACGGTCGTCTTCTTGGAGTACCTTCCAAGCAACAAGCAGTGGCTTCTAACCGCTCTTGCATGTTGGTGGGGTTTCGGTCAAGCAGTTGCTGGATTTCTGGCCTGGGGCTTCTTGGTGTCAGAGTTATGAGATTGCTCGGACGCTGCAAGTTGCACCAAAGCTAACAACTGGAAATGGCCGTATACTATGTTCACTGGCGGCGCCCTCGTCTTTATAATGTCCGTGCTTCGGGTTACTGTCATCAAATTGAAGGAAACTCCAAAGCATTTGCTTGGTGTCGGTCGGTGATGAGGCCGCCGTAATAGCGACTTTTCAATACTTACCCATGACTTATAGCCGGCCCTGCTCTTTGACTGAGGCAGATCTTGCGGCTTGCGGAATCGTCATGTCTGCCCATAGCAAGAAACGATTTTCTGGTGGTGAGACCTTGCTGCATATCTGAGGCCTCTTCAGCAGCAAGAAGATGAGGTTCTCGACAACTGGCATCTTCCTGTCTTAGATCCTAATTGGCCTGGCCTATCCCCTGTTCTACGTTTTTCTTCCGTGAGTGGCAGCGTCTCTATCTCCGATTGATGTCTTGGGAGGACTTGCTGACGATCATCAGGACATACCTTGCAAACAAAGGCGCCATCTTCCACCGAACGCAGTTTATAACGTGGCGCAAATACGTCCTCGCCAACATCAGTGGGATACCTGGTCCTATTGTTGCCGGTTTCATGTGTAACACGAAGCTTGGGCTTAAATACACCATGACTATCGGTGCGATGATCACGATGGCCTTTTTCTCTGCCTACACGGCTGTGCAGACCTCCATGCAAGACTTGACGCTAACTTGCGTCATTACCTTCTACATCGACATTTACTATGGAACTCTACGCATAGACGCCCGAGGTTCTTCCCAGCGCCCACAGGGCAACTGGAAACAGTATTGCTGTTGCTTGCAACAGGATCACGGGAATCATATCTGCGGTGGTTGCGAGCGAGGGGAATACAGGCACCCCGGCGCCTTTGTACATTTATGCAGCTCTGTTAGTTGGCGTGACTAGAGTTTCCGTGTTGTTCCCGTAAGAGCAATATGGTCTTAGGAGTTCTTGAAGCATGCTGTAGGGCAAAGAACATCAATCATGGACTCCAGCAGAGACGAGAAGGTTGCCTTAACTTGTTACATCACGGACGCCTTCATGTCTATTCGGCATTGCGCGGTCGTAACGGCTTTAGTAAGGTGTTAAGAAGGTATGTTCTGGATAGCACGATCATTGCATAACAGCTGTGGAGAAGAAATTATGAACGTCGGAATCGAAGGTACGTATTAACAATTCTTCAATCTCATGCATAGAAGAGATCCTGTCGCTTTTGACGAGGGGATCCTCGTGCATCGGCGGTGTCCAATTGTGGACACATCCCCGGTATTCGCACCACCCATTGGCCGATCCCAAGCCCTTTGCGACCGAGAGGGTATTGGTCAGACCATAAATGTTATGTATGTCGGAGGCCATATTGTCGTTGCAGTCGTCTCTGCATGTGTGTGGATCCTGTGCTGGAAGGGACAACAAGCGAACCGGCCAACGGAGACAACCCGGCCAACAGAGAGGAGACGTAGTCTTCCGGAGCACCGAGCTTTCCCTCTCTTTCCCCATCGTCTTTCTCCGTATCAGTCTCGAGAATTTTACCCCCACTTCGCCCTCCTCATCAACCGCGGTTGAAATTGTTCAGCTTTTTACTTCAAATCAAGGTTTCATCTTGGCGGTGAGCGTTCGATGCTGTAGTCTTCACATCATGTCTACTAGTGACGCTCAACCTGTCTCGCTCCCCGCCGGGGCGATCGAGGTCGCGGACGGGCCGATCGACGACTCCGAGTTCGACCTAGTCGAATGGGATGCCTCCTCGGTTGGATCAGCGTCTCTGACCTCCAGCGTTCATGCTCATGAGTACGAGTTTGGTCGCCGATACCACAGTTATCGCCACGGACGCTATCCATTGCCAAACGACGAGGAAGAAAAGAACAGAGAGGATATGAAGCATGCTATGATGCTTGAATTGACGGTATTCTTCCCATCGGCCTCTTCATGATAATCGTTGTGATGCGAATCTATCCTTCATGCAGGACGGCAAGCTGTTCTACTCCCCGATTGGAGACAAGCCCCATAAAGTGATTGACATCGGAACTGGTACTGGTGAGTAATATCAGCACCAATACTTCTTTTGGCATGGTCATTACTGACAGCTCCAACCAGGTATTTGGGCAATCGAATGTATGTTTTCTAGGCGCAGTGCGAAGACTGTGGATAATGAGGCCCACTGATTTTCTGTTACAGTTGCGGATCAGTTCCCAACAGCGGACGTCTTGGGCATCGACTTGTCTCCAATTCAGCCTACCTGGATCCCCCCCAACGTCAAATTCCTCGTCGACGATGTGGAGGATGACTGGCTTAATGGAGACGATTTCGACTTCGTGCATCTTCGAACTATGGCTAGTGTGTTGAAGAATCTTGACAAGGTTATTGGCCAGGCGTATAAGTGAGTCACGGTCGAATAATGCCGGCCCTTTGAGGCATACTACTGACTCCTGATCAGTCACCTCAAACCCGGCGGCTGGATCGAGTTCCAGGAACTCCATATTTACCCCCAATGCGACGATGGGACCATGAAAGAAGACGATAAGCTCAAGGAATTCTATGACATCGTTCTGCAGTCGTTTCTTTGTTTCGGCGCGAATTTCCACAAGGCTCGAGATCTAAGACCCCATCTTGAAGGTGCCGGTTTCAAGGACATCCGCCGCGAAGTCAAGAAGGTGCCCATTGGCACCTGGGCTAAGGATGAAATCCTCCGACTGTGTGGGCTGTATCTCAAGCATGCCATCAGAGACGTCTTGCCAGCCTTCAAAAAGCCGTTTGAAGCCAACGGGCTTTCGCCCGTGGAGACTGAGGTATGGACCGCAATTGCGAGGAAAGAGATTGAGGATAACGGCAAACATCGATACTTTAACTTTTACTTTTGGTACGCTCAAAAGCCGGAGAATGCGCCCGTACAGGACGATGGACCGGGTTCCTCAGGAGGCGAAGAAGCTTGACAAGACTTTAGCATACGCGGCCAGGAGACGCGAAGCTCGATGAAGAAATGGCTTAGACTTTGTTTGTCATTGTACAGTTCTTTTCATGCATTTTACGCATAAAGCAATAGCATAAGAAAAGAACAACTATTCACATTTCCCAGTGGACATGCCAGCTTTCATCTGCTAAGTAGCTATTATCTTAAGTAATGAATCCAAGCTAGGTGGATTTTTCATACCAGATGCTCTGTGGCTGGCCTGGGAGGAATGACCAGACAGCTATTGGTAACAATAATTGACGCGATAGGCATATATCAGGTTCAGCACATCGAACTGTAGTTCTTTAGATATGAGGAAAGCTGCTTGGGGAATGACCCTGTTGCTTTGATCATTTGTCAAGCGGTTCTCGCCTTTAGATGTGAAAGGCTTAAAGCTTGGATTTGATTTATCAGTTGATTGAGGTTTTTCTGCGAATTAGTATGCGATTGTTGCAAATCGTTTTCGGTGAAAAACATTAAACCTCCCACCTCTTTGGTTCTCAAATCGATTCCTTGTTCTTCATATTAGGAAAAATATGTGTTTCGTCAATGATGTAGCCCCGAAACTTGCGTGCGGGAACACGATTCTCAAACAGGTAATCGATCTCCTCAAAGGTGCGGTCTCCAGTCTATAAAACAGCGTGATATGTTAGGACCGTGTTTATGATATCTGTTGAACTAGGGACTATTCGGGGAATGCAACGTACCTCTGGGAGACGGAAAAAGCTCCAAGCAAACGAGAATAAACTAAGTCCGCCCCATAAAAACTCGATCATGGCGCCAGCATTGGCGGACCCGGGATTCAATAGGTAAGGGCCAGCAACAGTGATAACCAAGTATGAGATACCGTTGAAAGTGGCGGTGAGTGACAATGTCTTTGCCCGAAGTCTCGTCGAGGGAACTTCGGACGAAATGACATATGCTAACGGTCCAATGGTAAGAGAATAGACGAGTTGCATCGTGATCAAGATAGATGCCTGGGCCCAGGAATAGGCTTGGTTGGTTTTGTAGTCAGGGGCAAGACACATGAACGCCACGACCCACAGACAAGCAATGTTGTAGGTTAGTCCGTACATCCAGGCGCGTCGGCGACCGAACCAGATGATGGGAAACATGGAGCAGAAAACACCGACGAACCCAACCCCGTTGAGGCCGATGCCCATGTTGAAGGCGTTTTCTGAACTTAGTCCAGTCTGCTCAAAGAGATAGACAGCGAAGCCTACTGGGTTGCCCGAGAAGTTTTGGACGATGAAGACGGCAGAGGCGATCTCGAGGCGACGGAGATTGGGTCCCTTGAAACAATCACGGAATGTAGCCCCAACTTCGAGCTCTCTCTCGTAAGCGTCGGTCTTGACCATCATGGCAAGCACATCGTGGTTGTGTGCGTGACACTGCGTGCTAGAAAGTCGATCGAGTGCCTTCTTAGCATCCTCCAGCCGGTTCTGGCGAATCAGCCACCATGGTGACTCAGGACACCAGTAGAGGAAGGCGAGGATGAAGATAGGCCAGACCCATTGGAGGGCATATGGAATCTTGTATGCCCATACGCTGCTCCAGCTGACGAAGGCTCGCGTGATGCCTGTCTGGATGAACTGGCCCATCACGTAGCACAAGCTGACGTACGCGATGAAGATTCCACGCAATCGCAAGGGCAGGACCTCTGACGCATATACAGGAGCTAGAACGTGGTAGCCACCCCATATTATCCCAGCAAGATACATGGAAACGGCGAGAACGGTGCGGTTTGGTGCAAAGACTTGCATGAAGACGAGGGCTGAAGTCATGACGAGGTAAATGGCCAAAGTCTTCTTCCGGCCCAAGGAGTCCATGGGTACAGCAGCAAGCCAGGCACCGGCGACCTGTCCCACGATAGGGCCCATACTCATTGCCACCTGCCACTGGACGGGAATCTCCATGCCATGGCCATCGACATGCTCGCCAAGGTGGTCTCTAAACGCCGGCAAAGCGTAAAAGTTTCCGGTAATTTCAATGTCGTAGGCACGCATGATGATCGACATCGAGACGAGCATCGACCAAAGAGCCGCTTTATTATAACGCCTGAGTGCCTCCCATATTGTCAGATCGTGTTCTGAGAGGATGGCTTGTACGGCTTTCTGCTCATCCGTGGCGTCGAGTTTACCGCCATCTTCCGCAGCAGCAAGTGTGTCGTGATTGTGATTATCATCGCTGCAAGTATTGGCATGCTCTACCATGGCTACCTCAGATTTGGGTTCCATGTTGGTTTTTGATGTGGGAAGTTAGAGAAAATCGCAATTGATGGAAAGAAATGTCGGGTTTAAGCATGCCACATAGGCAGAGAGGATGAGCTGCAGCTTGATGTTTTTATAACGTATCAAACGACGGGGTTAAGTGGTCACAGGAAGGAGGAAAGTCGTTGTCAGGTCATTGATGGGCAGGTTGTAGACATGTAATCCGGGGAGAGGAAGGGTATACCTTGCCATACCCCATGGGGACCCCGCAGAATGTTGCGAATCCCTCAATCCATATCGGTGGGGTCCGCTATGAGGCCAAGATGCAGATAACGCCGGCTATGATCTAGTGACGAATGTCCGGATGAAGTTACAAGCCAAACCAACGCGGCGTTACGGCAGCACGCAGATGGTCAGTCCAACAGGTGACTTATGTGGAGAGATTGCTTGGAAGAAACTGTCAAGCTCCAGGGATCATGGCTTGGAAATGCGACGAGGATCGCGGAGGATTTCCTCTCCAGCCCCCCTCCATTATTACCCGACGGCAAAATGATCTTCTCGGACATCATCCCCAACCCCACAAATAATGACACGCTGCCCAAACCATTGTTTCCATCAACAGTTGATGCCCCATGTGTCCAAGAAGACGAAAACTAATCCAAACAAAGATTGGTGATAGGACACGTTGCCTACTTAACCTGCTCTCACAGATGACCATTTGACGCCATGTAGCCTTACGAAGCCTTTCTCCACGGAATTTATAAGAACTGTGATCGTTCGAGGTTCCTCAGAGTCTCTCTCTAGCAAGGACCAAAGTCACTTCAACGCAAAAGGGACATCCTACTTATGATTTTCTGGTTGATTTTGACACTTCTCTGAACCTTTCATTGTCTATTCACTTGATCAACTGTCGACTTGAGCCATGACAGAAATTCCAGTAACTGGCCTCAGCTCCCCTGCACTTGTGATGGGAGGTGCAGGTTTTAGTTACCAACTGCACCCCGATCCGGAATCTCTGCCAATCACGGAAATCCTTCTACGGGCATTTGAGCTCGGCATACGTTCGATTGACACCTCACCTTACTACGAGCCTTCTGAGCAGCTCATGGGGGCAGCCCTCGCACATGCAGACGTCAAGGCCAAGTACGGCCGCAGCGACTATGAGATCATGACCAAGGTTGGTCGCATCAATGCGAATAAGTTCGACTACTCACCAGAGTGGGTTTACAAGTCTGTTGCGCGATCACTGGAGCGTTTTCAAACCCCGTACCTGGATGTCGTCTTCTGCCACGACGTTGAATTCGTACCGAAACAAGATGCCATCATCGCTGTGGGTGTCTTGCTTGATCTCCAGCGGACCGGTAACATTTTACATGTTGGCATATCAGGATACGACATCGACGTTTTAGTAGAGATTGCCGCCACAGTATTGGAGCGGTATGGTCGCCCCGTGGACGTGGTCCAGACATGGGCTCAGCTCACCCTCCAAAATACACAAGCCGAGACACGCGGATTCGACAGGCTCCGCTCTGCTGGAGTTAATCGTGTCCTTTGCTCCAGCCCGCTGGCCGTGGGCCTGTTAAGGAAGGGAGGTATCCCCACGGGTCTCACGGGCGATTGGCATCCTGCTCCTGAGGGCCTACGGGCTGCGGCAGCTGAAGCGGCGGAATGGGTGGAGAATAACGGAAGTGGAGAGACGTTCTCGTCGGTTGCATTACGGTATGCGATTATGAAGGCAAAACAAAACTGCACAGCATCTTTCGCGGTATCTACAATCACGGGTGTCAGCAGCATATCCGACCTGGAGCAAAATATCGCCGCCGCGAGGGAAATACTGAAACAGGGCTCCTCTGCTGGAAGCAAGGCACCCGGCAGCTTGCGAGATTACTTTGAGCTGGATCAACAAACACTGGAACGCAATGCGCCGCTTTTTAAGCAGGCTCGCTTAATTCTTGGAGAATGGGTAGATTATGACTTCTCGGGCCAGAAGAGCATACTCGAAAAGAGTCCACAGTAGATAGCTAGAAGCAGATCATGTCAGGTGATCGAGAACCCTGAGCTGCAATTCTCTTTGCAGTAATAACTGGAACAGTAACGCTGGCCTTTCATATCATTTTATTACAACGAGTAGAGGAAGAGATGTCTCCAATCCGCATCTCATGATCATGTCTAATCTCTAGAACGCGGTGGACAAAACTTCAGGACGTCTCAACATATCTTGTAAACCGCGATTGGACATATCTCCATCAGATATGGTAGCTTGTAGTGAGGCTCATCATGCAACTGGACTCTTCCTTTCGGTACTGTCGGTGTCTTTTGCTCGGCAATCTTCCACTGATAATTGGCCCGGGGAGCCTCACGCTTCCCTCCCATGGATTTGGTACACCTTTCCCCTTATAACCTCAGGATCAACGTTGAGATTGATAATTTCAATGGTTGCAGCATGAGATCATACAGAAATTAGTAAAACGGCGTCTATGATGCCGCCAGCCCATTCTTTACCCTTGATTTGGTGAACAGGACCAGCATTTTTGATTCCTACACGGACACGCCCGATCAGTATAAATGACGAGCAGAATGCTAGCTCGTGTTGATAGGTCTACTCGTTTTCTGCGTCCATGGTCTACTGATAAGTCGAAATTCAGTTTGAACTTTCCCAATAGACCGACAAGGGTGTTCCCCTTTTTACCGGCGGTTCAATAAACTGTGCCTTTGCCCCGCACGAACCTCCGCCTTTCCCCGGACTTCGTGCGGAGAACTATGTCGAGGTTGGCGATCTTCGGCTACTAAAGCTTTGGACTTTAGGTTGGGTACATATTCAGCACTAGCTGCGGCTACCGGCATTTATCAACCACTAGCACATCGCATGCCAATATCCCGAACATCACTTCCTTGATTATTTGCGCATGGACCTTCCCCGTCAGCATCTACTACGTGCAGGTTGAGAACCTCGGTACATTATTGTGGATTACCGAAAGCAACCCCTCATATCGGGTGGTGCCAGACTCTTCATCAAATGACCTGCCAGACGTCGCAGACAATGTCTGAGTGGGGCGGCACAATCTCAAGCTGGCCGATAGCGGTTGGATAGGCGATGCGAACAATGATCATGCATCACTGCTGGAAACTTCAGCCCTTATTACCCCACGGGTAATAACCTTTTCCGTTGGTAATTTTCGCCTCTCTACCAACACTAGATAGATGTATGAAGACCACACAAAGCGAAACCCCATATCGTACAATCCCGGCATTTCGGAAATATGGATGCAGAGAACAACGCCGACGGGTCAATACCTCTAGTTGGACCTTTTGCAGGCACTCGTAAAAGGACCAGGCGCGCTTGCGACCGATGCAGTGCTTTGCGGGTTCGTTGTGATGGCCTTCAACCATGGTATGTGGTCTTCGTATTCTTGAACATGGCCAGAAAGCACCGATGGAGAATCAGGAAACTAACGCAACAGTGTATTGTAAAGTCGTCGTTGTCAAGGTAAGCAGTTGAAAAGTCTCATCAAATTTGGTGATGCCAGGTATGAATGGAAACTGCGGCTTCTGTCTCACTTAATATTGTTGACGCATTGGACCGCAAGCTCTCAAAGCCTCAATTCATTGCTGCTAATTGAATGTTTCTTGTGGTCTTGCAGAATATGAGCAGAGTTGTTACTACGCTCGGAGCATGCGTAGGCGAGGTCGCAAGCCGGCCTCTGAGAAGACCCCAGAGCGATTTTGGAGATCTAGCCCAAGACAAGAACAAGATGACGAGATCCACTATGGCGAAAGCGACTCATCGGGGGCCCATCTAGACTCGGGGCAAGGCATATCCTCGCAGCACCGACCGCCATATCATCGTCATCAGCAGGAGCAATATGGACAAGAAGGCTCAGTATCCCAAACAACATCCCAACGTGGTATCAACTATGACGACCTAGCTTCCACTCATCATACCAGTACCGCGAGTAGCGGCAATGGTCATTTTAAACCTTCCCCTCCAAATCTAGCTATGGGCAACCATATCGCATCCTCCTCTAACAGAGCATCGGAGTTGATGGTAGATACGACAACGTCAGCAGCAGTCGGTTCAACGTATACCGGGAATCCAGACCATCTGGAATCTTCTGCTGACCTCGAAATTTCGACCATATCCATGTCAAGTGTCACTGCAGAGATACCAGGTTCGCACTTGCATGGTGCCGTATCGTCTATTGGTAGCCACTGTCATGATGAAGCCCCACAATCAGAGAACACAACGCACTCAGTCACAGTAGATTCGCTGCTTAATACACAGACGGATGAAGGATACGGAAGCAGAAGTGGCGGAATGTTAGGTGCTGCTTCAGCAGCAAGAACAACATTACGAGAGCCAGAAGTGAACGGAAACCGGGCATGTCGCTTCAAATGCCTCGAGCCCATCATTCCCATGCTACAAGGCATCATCGACGCCAAACTTGCATGCGAGCTACTGGACCTCTACTTTGTCGAGCCTGGCGGGTCGCTATTCCGATGTTCCTCGCCTTATGTTCTGGCCCATATTGTGAGAAAGGAATCTCTACTCCGTTCCGCTAACCCCAGAAGGTCTACTCCAGCATTGCTGATCACGATGCTGTGGGTCAGCGCTCAAACTGCCGAGAGCTCGCTCTTTCTTCTTCCTGGACAGAAGTCACGAGTCTGTGAAGAGTTGAGGAGGTTGATGATGGCTCTGATTCAGGATCGAGATCCTGATTTCTGGCATAGGGCGACTGGTAAACCCTCCTGTACCCTCACTCACTCAATCTCAATGGTCTTAAAATCGCAACCGAAAACATTAGAACTAACGTGTCTCGTACAGAGGGGCTGCTTATAAAGGGCTTGAAGCTTTCTACAAAGGCTGCTATGATACCTGATGACTTCGATAATGCGAATATGTACGAACATGAGCGACCGTCATCTATGGCTTCGGAGCCACCCCCGGCCCCTTCAGTAGATGATGTGCTCACGTTTGTTCTCATTACCATTGTTGTTTCTGGTGGAGACTTCAAAGCGGATTGTTTCCGATGGTGGAACAAAGCACTAAGTTTATCGCATAAAATGAGACTCAACCGAGAAGACGCAACACAAAAAAACATGTCGTCAACGGAATACTCCATATGTACCGGAGGAAGAACGAGCTCGACATGCGCTTGCCGCTCTTGCGAGGCTGTACGCACAGGACTGTCAATTGCGGAAATTCAAGAAGAGCGCAGGCGGGCTTTCTGGTTAATGTTTTGCCTTGATCGACACCTGGCACTCTCCTTCAACTCTCCTCTACGTATTCTAGACGACGAGTGTCAACTATACGCACCTATGCCAGATAAGGCTTGGGAGTCATCGTCGCTTCCAAAGAGTCCCATTACCACGAATCACGACCCGGAAGCCGTCAATGGCACGCAACAGGAACAACACCATCTGGTACGCAGTTTTGGTGCTCCGACTCGCGTCGTTGGCATTGGCTTCTTTGAGTATTTTTTACCCTTGATGGCAATCCTGGGCGACATCATTCAACTACACCGCCGGAAAAATCACCCACGATTTGGTAATCTACACCAGTCGAAGAGCACTTCAACAAACGGCGTCATCCAAGACAACCAGACACACGAAGGCCCTGGCTGTAACATCGAAGGAGACCCGGCTTATCTCATGGTGGAACAGGTCATGGCTGAATGTGCACAGAGCATTGTTGATCTGGCGGTTCGGTACGAAGTTGACGCCCTCGATAATGCCGGGATCCCAGCGAGCCAGGTCCGCACCCCAAACTCAACAGGTTTTGCTCCCAATGACGAAGAGCAACATGTCTCAAACAGCTCTCATTCTCAAAGCAATGTTAATGACGCCACGAATCATCGTCACGATAACGACACCACATGCGCAAATCAACACCAGAGATCAACGACAACCCAACGTCACCATGCACAGGCACAGCTTGTGACGGCATACAGTACTTTCATCATTAACGTTCTGCATGTTCTGTTACATGGGAAATGGGACGCCGTTTCTATGTTAGATAACAAGGATGGCTGGATACCCTCTGTGGGATTCATGAAGTGCGCTTCTCACGCTATAGCTGCGTCCGATGCTGTCTCACGCATCTTAGCATGCGACCCGGAGCTTTCCTTCATGCCATACCTCTTTGGAATCTACCTTCTGCACGGCAGTTTCATATTGCTCTTGTTTGCCGATCGCATGCCTCAAATCGGTCTTAACGAGTCTGTTGAGAGGGCTTGCGAGATTATCATTCGTGCCCATGAGGTCTGCGTGGTTACACTTAGCACTGAGTTCCAGGTGAGATTCTCCACTTAATCGATCATGATCTCTCAGGTGTTGATTAAACCACCATGCTTGCAGAAACATTTCCGCAAAGTCCTGCGTTCTACTTTGTACAGCGTGCGAAGCGCGGGAACATCTAGCGTGGAAGAAAGCAAAGCGCGTCGAAGAGCGCTGTCGCTGTACCGGTGGAATAATGGATCAACGGGTTTGGCCTTGTAACAGAGCGACAAGACATGGCGATCACGGAGATATCGTCCAAGGATGTTCCTCTGCGTGCCGTAGTCACGCTTCTCCCCCACTTCTTCCCCGCGTTCTCCACGCCCCCCGGTTCGACTGAACTGGCAAGCCGTCGGCATTTTATCTGGGATCATCGCAGCGCTCCTACAAGGGCACTTTGTAACACCAACTCCACCTTTGCAAATTGCCGACGGATATTTTTCATAGCTGGTTACACTTTTGCTCTTCCCCTCATGTTCTAGTGGCGATCAATGGCGCGTAGGCGATGTGTACATGGCCGTGGGATATGCTCGCTCCACCAACGCGCATTTGGAGGAAGGGATCCCGAGGAGCGACAACTGATTGGCACCAAGGTCCATCCTCCATCAAGCACGTACTATACGGTGGCATGAGTTGCGAGATATCTTCTTCTGATTTCCCGCTTATCTCGTGACTCTTTGGTCTACCTTGGCCTGATACATTCAATTTGTGATCAAGCTGACACGGCTGTAAATGCGTACCTTGTACCTCAGCTACTTCCGCTAACATCGCTATTCCCACAATTAAAGCAATGGCAGAGCACACGCTCTTCTATGACAAGCCGGCTAACCTTTGGGATGATGCCACGCCAATCGGCAATGGACGGCTGGGTGCCATGGTACGTGGCACCACCGATGTTGAACGTCTATGGATCAACGAGGACTCGGTCTGGTATGGAGGCCCTCAAAACCGTTTGAATCCGGCTGCCCGCGATGCTCTGCCCAAAGTCCGCGAACTCATTGACCAAAACCGTATACGCGAGGCAGAGCAGCTCATTAGGAAGACCCAGACCGCCCGGCCTCGGTCACTGCGTCACTATGAGCCCTTGGGCGACGTCTTTCTCACATTCGGTCACGGCCAAGACCCCCCCGGCGACGAGGTTCGCGTCTCTGGCATAGTCAATTTCGAGAACAGCTTCAGTCGCGACCTGAACCGCTCTCCGCAAAACTACCGTCGCGAGCTTGACCTCCGCACAGGAATATCCTCGGTTTTGTACGACTTTGGTGGTGCACACTACGAGCGGCAGGTTTTCTCGAGCACTGTCGACGAGGTCATCGCCATTAGCGTCAGGTCGGAAGGCGAGTATTCTTTCCAAATCGATCTCAACCGTGGCGATCACCCGGAATGGGATCGTCGGCTCAACCAACGCTACGACAGCCTCGAAGAAATTGATGGCGGGCACATGATCACCGGCTCCATGGGATCAAAAGGGGCCGTCGAGTTCGCCATGGGCGTCCGCATCGTTGCCGATCTCGGCAATGGCGAGGTCCAGGTTGATAACACGGGCTACAATGTTGTCGTCAACGCCAAGGGCCGAGTCATCGTCCTCGTCTCGGGCGAAACCACCTTCCGCAATCCCAACGCCGGTGAAGCTGTCCAAGACCGGCTTGCATCCGCTGCAGTGAAATCCTGGGATGACCTGAAGTCAGCACACGTCAAGAGGTTCTCGGCTTTCTACGACAGGGTCGAGCTCCATCTTCCCGGTAGCGGCGATAAAACCGCAGTCCCTATCGACCAGCGCATCCAGGCCGTCAAGCAGGGCGCAGTAGACAACGGGCTAGCCCAGCTACTGTTCCACTTTGGGCGATATCTCCTCATCAGCTGCTCGCTTTCAGGCCTGCCCGCAAATCTACAGGGCATCTGGAACCGCGACCATATGCCGGTATGGGGTTCCAAATACACGATCAACATCAATATCCAGATGAACTACTGGCCTGCCGAGGTCGCAAACCTAGCCGAAACGCACGACGTCCTGTTCCGCTTCCTCGAGCGGACCGCCGAGCGTGGCGTCGAGACGGCAAAGACAATGTACGGCTGTCGTGGTTGGGTTATGCACCACAACACCGACATCTGGGCCGACACTGCACCCCAGGATGATGGTGTGCAGTGCACCTACTGGACGCTTTCAGGCGCCTGGTTCATGATACACCTGTGGGAACATTACCGCTTCGGTCGTGATAAAGACTTTCTCCGCAGGGTGTACCCGCTGATGGCCGGGTCTGCACTGTTCTTCCAGGACTTCCTGATCGAGCGCGACGGCAATCTCATCACCAGCCCCAGCTCCTCGGCAGAGAACAGCTACTACATACTTGGGACCAAGACGGTTGCATCCATTGCTGCTGGCCCCGCATGGGACGGACAGATCCTTACGGAGCTCTTCCGGGCGGTCGTCGAGGCTGGTAAGCTGCTTGGCGAGGACACCACTGAGTTCGAGAAGGTCCTTGCAAAGCTGCCAACCCCGCAAATCGGCAAGCATGGCCAGGTCATGGAGTGGAAGGACGACGTTGAAGAAGCAGAGCCAGGCCACAGGCATATATCTCACCTTTGGGGGCTGTTCCCGGGCAACACCCTCAACACCCCGAAGCTCCACGATGCGGCCAAGGTGACTCTGCAACGCCGTCTCGCAGGAGGTGGCGGCCATACTTCGTGGAGTCTAGCATGGATTCTATGCCAGTATGCGCGCCTACGCGACGTCGACGGTGCTCACGCAGGCATCCAGAAGATGATGGGAGGCTTGTTACTCAACAGCATGTTAACGAGCCATCCTCCGTTTCAGATCGACGGCAACTTTGGTTTCGCTGCCGCAGTGGCAGAAATGTTGCTTCAGAGCCAGGACGATGACAGGACCGGTAGCGGCAACACTATCATTGACATCATCCCCACTTTACTCCCCGAGTGGGAAAAGCAAGGGAGCGTTCGAGGTCTAAGAGCTCGTGGCGCTGTAGAGATTCAGATGCTTAGTTGGGAGGATGGTAAACTCCTTGAGGCTGTTGCCGTTTCCAAAGCTACTGAGCCTCAGACTCGTGTCTTCCGAGTTGCCCCTAGCAGACTTAAGCAGGGTAGCAAGAGCGATAGCAGAATCAGTGTTAATCTGGTGCCAGGAAAGGCAATAGCTTTGTCGTTCTAGTGTCCAGCTTGCAAAGTAAGAGATATTAGTCTCATAAAGTGGACATTAGTAACAGAACAAGTGGATATAGATAATAAGGAATCAAATTGTAGCGGATAATACCAGAGTATTAGAACGGGGTTTAGTAGGCCCACTAGATTTTTCAGCGTTTTCAGCATTTAGAGGTTAGATTACTAGCCCCTTTTAAGAGGTGAGAAGTTAGCTTAGATATTATTACTAATCCTTATAGATTAGAAGTAGAATTTACTTATTTTTTAGTAGATTTTTAAGCTTTTAATCCTATTCTTTTTATTTTAGATCTATAAAATAAATAAGAAGTTCTTTTTTTTTTTTTTTTAAGATTATAAACTTTAAAACTATAGAGTTATATAGCTATAGTAGCTTTATATACTTTTAAGTATATATATACTACTATATTATATAATTTTTAGCTATTAAGCTTATAACTATTTTAATAGTACTTAGAGGTAGATTTTTTTTTCTTTTAGATATTTATAGGAGGTATTAGAGAAAAGCTTACTCTTATATTAAATAAATAGATTAATATAATATATATAATAACTATAACTATTATTACTAGCTATATAATACTAAGAAATATAATATATTAATAGGAATTAAATAATTATTTATAAACTTAATATATAATAAATAGAGAAATATAATAACTAAGTATAACTCTAATAATAAGAATATAAAAATATAAAAAGACTTTAAAAAAGACTTTAAAAATATTATAACTTATATAATAAAGAGTATTAAATTTTTATTTATTTTCACTTTTACTACTTTTTAATATTATAAGCTATTAAGGCTAAATTAAATCTACTTAATAAACCTTCTAAACTAATAAGAATATAAAACCTTATAATATTTAAATAAAATAGCTCCTAAGAACTAATAAATTTACTATAAAAGAATAAAATAAATCTACTATAAAGCTATTAGTAGTTTATATAACCCCTAATAGATTAATTAATAAAAGTTTAAAAGAAGGAATATAAAGTTAACTATAGAGGCTTAAAATAATATAGCTAATTAGGCTTAAAACTAGTAGAAGTAGAGGTATAGTACCTACCTACCTAATTATATTCTTTTCTCTTTTTTCTTTTATTATATTTTTAGAAAAAATAATAATAATACTTAAAATTAAAAAGACTAATACCTTTAATTACTTAAAATAATAACCTATATATTCACTATCTTAATTATTAATAACTACTATAGCTAAAATATAACTTAAAACTACTAAAAAGATATTATATAAAAATATCTTAACTCCTTATAACCTTACTATTAAAGATAAGTCTACTAATATATTTAATATCTAAGCTAAAGTATTTAAGAATATCTAAGATTAAACTAAAATAACTCTAGTTTCTAAAGATAGTTTACTTAATAGCCCCTCTAGTTTATAAACTTAAGTTATTAATATTAACTTCACTAAAGTTAATTATACTACTAATAATACTTACTTCTATACTAAAGCTAATAGAAGTAAAGAATAAGCCCTTAGTATTAATCCCTATTATACTTTAAGTAATAATACTTATAAAGTCTAATAGTAACTTATAGCTCCTATTAGTAATACTTATCTTATTTCTATAAACTAGTTAATAAGAATTATTAAGTAACTAATAAAGTTATACCTTTAATATCTTATACTAATTATAATAAATCTCTTCCTAAATAAAAATACTCTTATATTTATAAGTAATAATATTATAGATTTTATTAAAATTTATAATTCTTAGTCTTATAAAGCCTATTAGACTAATAAAGATAAGTTAATAAAGGTCTATCTTTATAATCTTAAGGATTTAAAGTAAGGTATTAAATTACTAATTAAAAACCTTAATAATTAGGAAGTTACTAAAGCTACCCTTATTAACTAATATAATATTATAAATAAAAGCTTCTATTAAGACCTTAATAAAAAGCTTTAAGTAATTAAAAATAAGCCCCCCCTCTCTAAAATAAATACTATTAATATTATAGCCCTCTTTAATTATATTAAAAGCTTATACTATAAAGCTACTATAAAGGAACTCCTAAA